ACCACACACACACACACACACACACACACACACACGCACGCACACCACGCTCACCCCCGGCGTCAGCAGCCTGGATTGCAGCACCTGCATTAGAGGCAAGCCCTGGGACGCAACCCGGAGCCATCCCCTCTGGGCTCATGGAATTCCACTGTGTCCCTTAAGGCCCCACTCTCAAAATCTTTAAATGATAGGGTTTTTCCTTTATTTGATTCATGACAGCACACATGCATGAGGGGGAGAGAGGCGCACCTCAGCAAGGTCTGACCACGCTGAGATGCCCCCTTGCCAGCTCTCGGTGTGCCAGGATCGTGGGCCTGCCTGCACACACGCCCGGCCTGTTCCCACGCCGTCCCAGAGATCCAACCCTCAGCCAGCTGGGAGGCTCGCACGCTGCAGGTTGCTTAGTCCGGGGCTCGAAGTCTTTACTGAGCCCTTACTACGTCCCCAAACTCACCCCGACCCGGGTGGGGTGCAGGCCAGCTGGCCCGCCGTTTGCAGCCAAGTGCATCCCCGGCCGTGGTGGACTGTGGAAATCTGCCCGAGATGACCTCGTCTGTGATGTTCTTTTGCATTTTCTTGGCCGTTGTTTGAGTCCATGCTTCAGAAGACGCCTGCGGACGGACTTGTGCCCGAGGCAGTGGCTGCGGGGCTTGTTTTTAGTCTCAGTGTGGCCGAGGACCTACTGTGCTCTCCCCACCCCATGCCAGGGCCAGCCTGCTGGAGACGGCCCAGCAGCTGTGCAGACCTGAGGGTCCTGGAGCGCCGCTCGGTGCTATTTTCCTGCAGCAGCTGTGTCCTCCCAGCAGGGTCCGTGTGGTTCTGCAGCAAAGCTCTGAAGACAGATGGCTGCCTTGTCGGAGACCTGCGTCAGCTCCAGGCCAGCGGGAGGCTGAGGGTCACGTGAGGAATGGGGACGCGCTGACTCCCACAGCCCAGTGTCCACCGGCCCTACGACAGACACCGTGGAGACGCCCTACCCGGGTGCCCCCTCAGTCTCCACCCATCTCACCCTGCCAGGTTCCAGGGAGACCAGCATTCTCGGTCCACTCGGCCCAGTTCCTGTGGGTCACCTGTTCCCTCTGCCAGCCACCAACTGCTATTCCAGGGCACAGTGTTCTTGCCGGACACGGCCACTCTGGCAGATGCCACTCCATCCCTTGCTGATGGGCAGATGCGGCAGAAGTACCCTTCCTAAGCTAGGCCCACAGAGCTGGGCTGGGGCAGCCCCAGCCTCCTGGCTGCCACCAGAGCAGGCTCGCCCCCTTCCCCTCCTAGCGGCTGTTTGCAGGGGACTCACCTCTGGTTCCAGGAATGGTGTTATTTTTGGCCCCGGTGTTAAGGTCGTGCCCACATTCCCTGCAAGTCAGCAATTAGCAATGTGCACCCCCCATGAAAGCATGTGACGAACAGAGCCCCATGTCCGCAGGCCTGGGGCTGGGCAAACTGAGTGCCCAGAGGCTCCCCTGGTGGAGCAAGGCCCACTGCCCAGACTTGGCCTCCGAGCCTCCCAGGCAGCAGTCTCTGGAGGGCTTGGCACCCCACACACTTGCCCCCAGGCAACCGGCCCTAGCAGGTGTGTCCCAGCCTGTAATCTGCAGCCCCAGGCAGGTACCACCCTGGCCCGCTGCTGGCTGGAGCCCCTGGGGACTGATAGTGGGCTCTGCAGCCTCCGATAAGGCCCCTCTGAGCCTATGGGCTGCGGCCTCCTGCCCACACGGCCTGGGCCCCGGCAGAGGCTGTGTGCCCGCGGCAGCCCCGACTGCTCTTCCAGCAAACCCGACTAAGGCTGGCATGCCCCTCGCAATGGGCTTCTACAGAGTGAGTCCTGGAGAGAGGGCGGGAGCAGCTGTGGAGGGGGGAGAGAGACTGGGGGCTGGGGGCGCCCCGAAGGGGCTGCCGGGCTGGCAAGGACTGCAGGCAGCGGCATGCCTGTGGGGAGCCCTGGGTCTCAGAGGGCCAGTCAGGGGCGTGCACATGCGGCCCCCAGGGACGGCCCTGTCTGGGCTCTGTCCCTTGGTGACCTCAGGACTCTCTCCTGGTCACCAGAGGCAGTGGTGGTCTCTGTCCGTGGTTAAGTAGTTGCTATTTCCTGACCAGATTCTGGCTGGCCCGTTGCGTTCTGCCCCTGTGACTCGATTTGTGCTCTGGGCACGGGGTGGAGGTCGGGGCGAGCATTGGGAAGCGCCATCTTTGAGTTCCAATCCAGAGCTGCTGAGATCCTAGCTGCGTTCCTGGTTGGCACGGTGCTCAGGGGTGTCGCTCAGGCCAGCCGCCCTGCTGGGGGAGGCAGGGGGCGGGGTGCACTGTGCCGTGGGCCATGCCGCCCTTGTTTGGAAGGGGTCTTGCTGGTTTTCAAAGACCCACCAAGTCTCCGTTCTGGAAATGCTGGACTGTGGATTTACACTGCTAACTACGGGCAGAGAAGGGAAAGAAGGAAGGGGAAGCATTGCTGTGGCCCTGGCCGATACGGTCTGCTGGCCTCGGCGAGGTGCTAGGAAGCCCGCCGGGGACCCCGCCCTAGCCCGACTCCCCTGGGAAGATAGGGCTATCGCCACCCACAGCCTGGCTGCCACGGTTCTCAGAGCAGAGCCGAGGGATGGTGTTGGCGAGCAGAGCTGGTCCCCAGGCCAGCCCTGAGGGCAGCGAGTGGAAGGGGCTCTAGCCGTCCCGCCAGGAGACCGCCTCTTCTGCTTCTCTGACAGCCCCCCTTCACCCCAGTGCAGGAGAACAGGATTAGCGAATCTCTTTTTAGCGGTTTGGGATCTCTGGCCTTCTCGGATGGAGGGGAAGACTTGGTGGAGGACACGGGGGACTCCCTGTCAGGCTCCCGGGTCAGTGAGGTCATTGGTCTGTCACCCTTCTCTGAATCCCCTGCAGCCCCCCGCTGTCCCCCACCCCATCCCGGGCTGCCAGCTGGTGGACACTGGAAGACCTGGCCACAGGGGCCGCGGGGGCAGCGTGCCCAAGCTGCATGTCACATGTCCACTTCCCGCAGACTCAAAGAGCAGCCCGTGTCCTGCAGGAATAAGGACAGGCTGCTGATGAGAATGTTTAAGGCCAGGGTGACACGTTCACTGACCCAACAGCCTTCGGAGAGAGCCACGTGCCCTGTGCCTCAGCTTCCTTATCCGGGCACCGTGTCTGCTGGGGACCTGAGTAAGGTCATAGGTGATGAAAAACAATCAGAAGAGGGAGTAGATGGCTCAGGTGTGGCTGTCACCAGGGCCGACGGACTCGGCTGACGCGTGGCTTCGTGGGTCAGTTACACTGATTAGACCAGCACCCCAGAGGGGTCCTGCAGTGTCTTCGCGAAAGCAGTGACCTGTGAGAATAACCCGCACGCAACGTGTTTAGGAAGACAGGGGCTTTGTTGCTGCCAGAAAGTAAGAAAGGCAGTGACAGAGTGCTTTCTGAAGGCAGAGCCGCCGGGGACCTCTGCCCTGTGGCCGTGTGGCACCTCTAGCAGACGCGGACGGAGTGCCCTGCAGACAGCTCCTGGCGCGACCCTGGGAGCGCAGCAGGAAACAGATCCCCACGTCGTGGGAGCTCATCTCCCAGCAGGGGGAGGACGTAGACTGAGGCGAAACAAGGGAGTCAAGTGCACATCCATTTCAGACTGAGAAACTGCTGGGGCGGGCTAGCGGCCTAAGAAGTGGGGGGGCAGCAGATGGCGCGAGGGTTACGTCACTGGACTCCCACGTAGCCAACCGCGGTTTGAGTCCCAGACCCAGTAGATTAAAACTCACACCGGGCGCATGTGTGTGCGTGCCCAGAATCCCTGGAGGAGAATGGATTACGGCCTGGCCATCGCCCTGGGGGGTGATCTCTCAATTTCTGTCTCTCCAGCAAGCTCATTTTTGCCTATAGCAAAAATCTCTCTCTAAAAAAAAGATATAGAAGTTGCGCCATTTAAGTTGAGTGCTCAGAGAAAACCCCGGGAGGTGCCACTGAGCAGACTTTGGTGAGGCAGGGAGAGAACCCTGCACCGCTCTGGAGACGGGAGCAGAGGAAACAGGAAGCACAGAGGTCCTGGGGCAGGCGGGTCCCGGCCGTCACTGGGAGGCCCGTGTGGCTGGGGCAGAGTGAGGATGAAGAGCTGAGAAGGGAGGAGAGGCTGAGGGGGTAACGGGGGCAGAAACTGTGGGGCCCTGGGTGTCGTCGTGAGGCTCGTATCATTTATGCTGAGACAAGAAACAGACGGCTTTGGTGTTGACCGAATGGTACGACTTGGCATCACCACTTCTGTGACTCGCTGATGCCTGGGGAACCAAATTCCCCGGAGCGGACTGACCAAACTGAACCCGATACAGCGTGTCAGGCCGAGTTCTCACTGGGTCCCCATGCCGTGCTTCCAGGTGTCCTTCCTCTGGGGTACTCAGGGCTGCCGATGCATAGTGGACCTCGTTCTGCCTGATCCTCTTCGCGGCCATCCCTGGCCATTGGTAACCCTTCTCCCTTGCGTGCTCTGGTTTAATGAGAATATAAACAGTGCCACAGGTGCTCGGCACTTAAAAAATTACCACGGGTCACATTGGAAAGGAGACAAGCCACCATGACATCGCGATTGTACGCCGTGTGGTCATTTGGAATCGCGGCTGCTCATGAGCCTTCCTGGTTCCCAGCGGGCCTTGGAGAAGACAAAGCAGGCTGTGGGTTGTGCTTCTGGAACGTGAGCTGTCAAAGAGCTCATGCGGGGGCCAGCAGGTGACCTAGAGTTGGGAGCTGGACTCCCACATGGCTGACCACAGATCAAGTCCCAGATCTGGAGACTGAAACTCACACCAGGTGTGTGTGTGTGTGTGTGTGTGCGTGCCCCAAATCCAAATGGAGGAGAAGGGATTGCGGCGTGGCCATTCCTCTGGGGTAAAGGGGGGGATCTCTCACTTTCTGTCTCTCTCTCTGTGTCTCCAGTGAGCGCACATGCCTTATAGCAAATATCTCTCTTTAAAACAAAAAACAAACTCATGAGGGGTGGCAGATGGTGTGGCAGTAAAACAATGCTCTGTGAGGTTGGCCCACGTAGGAAGATTCGGAGCTTAGGTCTACATGGACCCTTCCCTGAGCACGCAGCACGTATGTGTGTGCGTGACTCGGGCTGGCTGGAGGCTGGGCTTGGATTGCGGTGTCAAGAACCTATTGGGGACGTGCACACACTCTCTCTCTCATGTAATAAATAAATATACTTTTCAAAAAAGCTCGAGTGTAAGCAGGAAAGCAGAGTTGGTGCAGAGGGGAGCCTTGATTTTGCCCTAAGTCCTGAAAAGGAGCATGTCCTCCCATGGGTGTTCTCGCTCTCCCAGCCCTTCCTCACACACAGCCCAAGTGATGGTTTCAGAAAAGCGGTGCTCTCTGTGCCACTCCCCGGCCTGAAATCTTCAACGGCTTCACACGTTCCCAAGTGGGCCTTCCTCCTTCACGAGACTCTCCTGTCCCAGTTCTGCCCCTGTTCCAGTCTGCTGTTTTTATTTCTATTTAAATGTGCTTGCTCGAGAGAGACAGAGAGAAAGAGAGAGAGAGAATGTGAGAAAGCACCTAGGGGATGGCTATACCACAGTCCTTTCTCCTCCATTTGTCTTTTGGGATTTTGGCAGGTCCAGTACTCGAACCATGTAGTCAACCATGTGGGATCCAGCCACCTTCACCACCATGACACTTGCTGGCCCTCTCCAGCCTGCTTCTTACTCAGCCCTGCTCTAAGAACTGCTCCCGGCTGTCAGTTCCTTAGACCAGCTGCACTTGGAAGCTTTGATGTTAGATTTATAAGCTCCACACGGAGGCATGTGTGCTTGCCTCTTCGCTGTTGTATCCTTGGCACTTCGTGTGGCGCCTGGCACACTGCAGGTGCTCGTTAAAAAGCAGTCGCATTAATGAACGAACAATGAAGCACTTGCAGAATTGATTGATTACTTTCACCAGTTTGGTCACCACCCTGTAATTGAAAGTTACTGCTTTAGTCATTTGTGTGTATGACTTTCGAGATACTCTGCTCTTGGGATTTTTAAAAAATTCATAATGTAGTTCCTCCTTCCTCTGAACTCTCGCTGAGTTTATTGGCAACTCCCTTGGGGTCTCTCTCACTGTCTACACCTCTATCCTTATTTACAGGGATGTCATCTCTCCTACGGCTGGAGGGTGGCTGCAGGTGGCAGGGGGAGGGCAGCAGCGCTCGCTGGAGTCATTTCCTTTTCTTTCCTCAACCACGATCTTGAACATGGGGCGGAAAACGTATCTGTTAAATGGATGCATATAAACCCTGTGAATGGGCCTGAGCACTTTCTGCTCTCACTCCGACCATGGCTGTTAGGGATCTGTCTCTCGGAACATTGCTCTCCACGCAGCCCTGTGCAGAAGCAGGTGGACATAGCCTCGACCCTAGCTGGTCGATCACCCCGGTTTCTTGGAGTACCCAGTCTGGACTGCAGCCCTGTGAACCAGCCCAGGGCAGGCTGGGCGGTTGTCATTCTCTGACAGGCAGAGATCTCCATTTGGATGCCTATTGAGAAGTGGGATTGCTCCCCCTCACTCTTGACTGCCACCTTACCTACAGGGCTTGCTGTCCCAGCAGAGGCTGATGTGAAAGCCCAGAGGAAAGTACCTGATGGGGATGCAACCCTCAGCTAGTGGCCTGGCTGGCCAGCCAGGGAGTCTGGGTTAGCACACAGGAGAAGGTGGTTATGGAACCAACCCAAATGTCCACGAACAGATGACTGGATTGAAAAAATGTGGCACATATACTTCCTGGAATACTATTCAGCCAAAAAAAACAAGACCCTAGCATTTGATAGAAAGTAAAAAAAAAAAACAAGACTCTGGCATTT